AGCATGCACTTCTTTTTCACATTGCCATCCCTCTCATGCATTTTTGCATGCACTTCTCCCTGCACCTCCTTCCTTCACAACTCTCGCTTCTCCGAACGTGCTGTCGTCATGCTGTATGTCGACAGGATTGAGTCGGATATTCGCCCTGAGACAGCTCGAATGTACACCAGTGCTAACCAATACACTGCATGATGCGGTTGCTTTTTCTGGGGTATCGAACTAACGACACCTGCAAGAGCTCAAGGTGTTCCGGACGACCAGCTTCGCATGCGATGCCGTGCCGTTCAAAACAACACTGTGGGAGCTCAATAATATGACCGATATCCGAATGTATGTTTTATCTGGATAAAAATGGGACTGCCGAAAGGCGGGTCGTGATAAAATGAACATGAATCCCCGTCGAAATATGCCTTGACTCGATGCCTGTGGTGTGACCTACTCGACAATAAAGTCCTCGAGATCGGCATAGGCATCGTCGCCGCTTTCTTGTTCTTGCAGGCAATCGTCAATGTACGCGTGTCGGCTGCGGAGGACAGCGGAGCGTTTTCGCTTGGGCTCGTGTGGAGGCCACTTGTGTGGTTTTGGTCTGTCCACAAGCTCCATGACGTGCCTTGACACGGCTTGAATCAGTTGCTTGACTGCGACCGCGTCGGTCCCGTGCCAAACGCGCTGTGCATGCCACGTTCGTTGAGTTCCTTGAGCGAGGGAACGTTTTACCTTTTTCATGCCACGGGTACTCTTGGACGACACATCCAACAAAAAGCGCTGCATGCGCACGGTGGCGTCGGCGAGCTGCAATCGTCCGTGAGTGGTCGATCGAGTCCATGCGCTCATGTTGTACCTCGGTCACGTGTTTCCATGCTGCACCAACGTCCATGCATATTCGAACAATCGTGTGCAAGCGGCCCCAGTGCAGACGGAACGCCTCTTGACCCGATGCCATGCACACCGCCAAAGCGCCTCGGCCAACTCGCAACCACGCGTCCATGGCGCGACTTGCATGCGAGTACGCAATGCTCGGACGGCGCCACGCGGCTTGCCCGAGTGTAACGAGGTCGTCGACGTTGGGTGTTTCGCTGGCTGCTAGGATGTGCTCCAACTGCCTGAGGCCGTCGGCATACGCTGTCTTCCTCGTTGCGTCCGTGGTCAGTACAGGCGCTGCCAAGCCATACTCCGTGTCATCATCTTGCTTGCTTTGGTCGTTGGTCGATTGCGCCTCTCGAAGCACAGCGACGACACGGGCAAAGTGGACACGTGCCATCGCATCGAGCCAAACAAGGTCCAGCAGCGCCGAGAGCAACTTGGGCGAACTAATGACGTGTGTGCACACGAAGCGGTAAACTCGTTTCGCACCGGACCGACGCAACGACGGGTCCAGCGTCGTCCACATTGCATGCAGGTACTCTGCGATCGCAACACTCAGTCCAATGTGCCTCTGGGTGTCCAGCAGTGGCTCGAGCTGCGCCAGGAGGGCATGGCACACTGGTTTCCATGACGTCGCCCCCCACAATTCTGGAGTGACGACGCACACCAGGGACGGCCACAGTTTGAGGACGCACGTGAGAATTTCGTGGGGCTTGATGGGTTTTCGCACAGGCAGCTTCAGTTCCGGCATCGCGTGGGGATCGTGCTCGGCAATCACGTCGCTGTTGTACCAAGTCAAGTACAGCGCGACCGACTGCTTCGCTAACGCGTCCAAATCTGGACTGGACAGCGTGGGAAGGCGAAGGTCCAGGAGGTGCAGGCAGTAAAGAGACCAATGGGCACAACACCCCCCGACGAGTCCGTTGACGAGTTCTGCGGTCGACGGGTCGTCAAGGACGCGAGACTGCGGTGCCTTGCTTGTTGACGGCAGAGATGTCAAGATGCGACAATGCAGCGCGGTCATGCCCACTGCTACCGCGACCCTTGCGTAAAATGCCGCCGCTCGGACGCGATCGGGAGCTGCGTCCAGGAACGCGCGGCAATGCGAACGGGAGACTACTGCCTTCAATTGTGTCGTCAGCAATTGACCAAACTGTCGAGTCGACGTCGACAATCGAGGCAGCAACGCGACGCACTGGCGGAAAACAAACCCACTGTGCGCGTCGAGCTACGGTCGTGCGTCAATACATGGCTCGTCCAGTTCTCGAGATCAACGAGATGGCCATGCACCTGGTCCATGCGCAAGCGAACGCCGCTGGCGCCGTCCACTTCGACAAGTGTAGACAGCATGTCAAGAATTGCTCGTTCGTACGGCAGGACATCTGGGAGCGACTCGAGATAGGCCAGCGCGAGGTGGCGGCACGACGTCAAGTACAGCGCGTCGTTCAGGCAAGACACCAGGTCCTCTTTTTGGACAGTTGTGGTTGACGGCGCTTGCAGAAGGTGGCACAGGTGGGCAATGGCCACTTCTGGACATGGAGACACCAACGTCTTGCGCAGCAGCACGACGAGAAAATGGTAGTACGACGGAGTCGTCGCAACCAACGGGTCGCACGCTCGAATCAAGCGGGTGCCGCGTGCGATACTCGACTGGCACACCCGACTACATGGCCAACAACGAGTGAATCCACGGCGACTTGAGTGGGCACAAATATACCACACGCGATCCTGCAGGTCGGGCAAGTGAGGCTGCAGCAATCGGTGATGCTCTGTCACGATCGATGACAGCGCGGTTTCTGCGACTTCCTGCAATTACAGCACGTTCAAGTCTGACGCTCCATCTTTCAAACACGTTCGGGAAAACTCGAGAGCGCACCTGCATGAAGTCGTCGGATGATTCGAACCCAGCAAGGACAAAGCCGATCATGTCTGACCGTAGCTCGACCACCTGTCACAGGTATGGCATACACATTGGAGTCGACAACATGCCGCGCACCTCTTGAAAGAGCACATCCAGCAATGCTGTCCACACGATCTGAGCGTTCGGTGGGACTTGATCACGGGCGAGGCTCGCGCCGAGCAAGCATTTCGCCAAGTCCAATAGCACCCGGCCCTTCCAGTGGCTGCCATGGACAAGCACACGTTGCAACATGCGTCGAATGCTACTCGCACCGATCGCAGCGACGGTATCCACGAAAAGAAGGCCCAGTTGGTGGTACGTCGATGCACAGCCCCCGCCGGTGGAAAGCACCGGCTGGACGACGAGGGGCTGCGACGCGTGCAGGCAATGCACACACATGGTCAAATCCCACTCGGTCGACATGTCACCGGCGCGAGCGGCCTTGTTCATGGCGGACCGCAGCCATCGAGCAATGTAGACCGGTTTGTGTTGCAATACCTAAGCACACGGCATCAACCTCGCCATCAAGTTGGATCGTTCGTACGGTGTGAAGAAAGTAGTCCATTTCACGATGCAACGTTGTGGGCAACAGTGTCATGGCTCTTCGCGCGAGGTGCATCCACTGGACCCCCGCAGGGTCGTCGCCGCTGCGATCCACCAACGCGTGTTCGGTCAAGTCAAAGCACGCAAGCAAGACAGCGTGCCAAAACGGGTACTTGGCTTGGCTGGAAAAGGCCGGCAGGAACTTGTGAAAGAGAGCCTGTAACGACGTTTGAGCGCGGGTCGGAGGTCAACCACGTCATGGTGTACGTGTAGTTGGGCGTGATGGTGCGGAGTTACGTGTGACGCATGCGATCGGCAGAACGACAGCAACGAAGGAAAGGACTGGACCGACCACGGCAGTGCCAGGATCGCGTCCAGGACCTGCAGAGCGCATTACGTGAGGCAGTTTGCCATGATGATCTTGTCGTACTGTGGGAAAGAAGGCCGTGGTGGCGGACGACACAGTTAACAGCGGTGGCAGGACGTCGAGCACAGTGTCAAATGCAAGCCAGTCCTCATGGTCTGGCAAGATTGTTCCATTCGCGAGATACGCACCGAGCAATTCCAAAATGCTGTCAATGGTGTCGGCAACATCCTTGACGACATCGTCTGCCACGATCGTGTAGGCCATGTAGCCCATGCACAGCTCGGTGGCCCACCTCGACGGCAGTTTTCTCGTTAGGATCATGTTCACAATCGCACGAGCGGATGCATGCCGCGACGTGCGTTGCTGAAGAAGGCTGTGCACGACATCAATGGCAGCGTCATGCTGCTGCACCAACGGCAGTGCCTGCACCAACTCCTCAACCTAGTACATGAAGTCAGTTCGCAGTATTCACAGGCATGAAGAGCGAGCACAGCCACCTCAGTAGCGCTAAGCGCCGACAGGTGGTCTGTCACGGCCTCATTGTCCACGGCCGCCGCGTCCAGCACTCGAACCAGCGCCTCCATTCTCGTTTGAATTCTCGACCCGGCCGAGTCAACGAAACCATTCGGTTCCATTAAAATTATCCGGATGACCGACAAAATGTGCATGTGGCCATGAGCCGCGAGGTCGACGTGAGGACGGAGGTCGGGCGCCGCAACGTCGCGTTTGGCTGGGCATGTGTTGGAACAGGACGAGCAAACGGATCGACTCGAATTCGGACTGTGGGTGCACAGGAAGCAGCAACCGCGAGGCCAAACTCCCAGTCGTGGCAACAGGACGACGTCGACAAAGACGTCCCAAGAGTTGGATCGGTCCGAGTTTACGCGCACCGGCAAGCGAATACCCGATGCTTCCATGGCCTTGCCATCGATTGCCCGAGGGTTGTGCCTCGACAGTGCCTATGGGGACATAATGCGCTCGTCAGCACGAGTCTAATGGTGCCCCAGTGTGACACCTTCCGCTAAAATCGGCCGCCAGTACAGTCAGCTCGATGCAGTAACCAGGGGAGCAACAATGCACCGAAGAGAACTACCGTGTCGGCGTCACGAGCTCATGCCCGGCCCTTGGCCGACCATGTCGTCGTTGCCGTCGGTTGGGACGACTCGTCGATGCAAGTCAAGAACTCGGGGGGACCAGATGGGGCGAAGGGGGTACAATCGCCTTCGGGTGCAGGTACGAGATGACCTCACATGCAGCGTCCCCAAGGGTGTGACGCCCCCTAGGCCCAAACATTCGCCGAACCAGCCGAGACAACTGGTTTAACGTTGCCCATTGTTACAATATCGAACTTAACCAGACTCTAGTGGTTTGTAGGAGGATGGTTTCGTATTTAGAAGAGCTTGTATATCACGACCAAATTCAACCTTTATTAGCAATCCCATGGCGTGTGCTCCGTCGGAAATCATACCTTCTCGGCCTTTTGGCTAAGATCAAGTGTAGTATCTGTTCTAATCAGTGTGAAAACTGATTTCCATACTTTGTATGGAGTTTTTTTCACATTCATTTTTATAGATTCCCGAGGTTCAGGAGGCTTGCCACTGACCTTGGGACAGGTTTCCGAGGGCCCCGCACTCCTCCCTTGTGAAGCCTAACCCCCTACTTCCATACTCGTAAGCACCCACCCCCTCATGGTATCTACTACATGTGTCACTCGCCTGCTGTTTTGCGAATCGAAACAACGCAGCGATTCAAGGCACGCAAAGCAGGCCGACGCCATATAGTTGTTGTATTGACAGGAGGAAGATATAAATGTTTAGCTGTGCATTGCCACAGTCAATTCCACATATAAATGTATGGATACAAACTTCAAGTCTAATAATAATATTACGTAGAAAATTGTAGAATATTGATCGAGAATTCATCGAATAGTATGACTTAACAGTGAACGAATTTTGTGGTCAACCTGAATTGTGCTTATACTGATGTCTCCCCGACTTTTAAACGGGCCAAAGTGAATAAAACTTGAGAATCGATAATATTGAATATCGAGGTGACATTGAAATTTCAAAAGGTTCAATGATGTTGTCATAATTTATACCTGTATATTTTGGTTTCCGTTGAAACTTGTTTCAAGTCGACCGTTTAATAGTCGTCAGTACTCGGGGTTTCTATTGGTATGGTAGTCTATCGCGCCCACCGAATGGATGGTCCTTCGGCCACACAAAACCCGACGACGAGAAGCGGCACATTCGAATACGCAACCGCGTCATGCATAGGACAGTCTGTGCCGGTTTGCTCTAAGCGAACTGGAACCATGGCATCGGCCGCCATCACTCTACCATTGCACCATGGACAGAACTACATCAAATCCGCCGTGGCTTCCGAATTGATGAACTTGACGTGTTCAGTTCGAATCGTCAACAACTGGTTGCGCTCGTGACGACGAGCTCCCACTTGGCTTTTAGTCCTTGCCAAAGACCATGGACTCGCCCATGATAGCGCAACTGAGCTAGCCACGGACGGCTCACAGCCATGCGGTGGTGAGATCTTCGTTTGCCTTTCAGCCGCCGACACGACGCTGTTGTCGGGCGCTTCGTGCTGCTCCGCCAAAAAGCGCACATCCAAGTCGTCAAACGCACTGGAGGCATGCGGCGTTCATCGAGTTGACCGTCGTCTTTGGTACACGCGAAACGTCACGACCAACATCATCATGTCGATCTTTCCCAGCACCAATTACTTGCGCATTTGGCACGCGGTAGAGGATGCGAAAGACCAGGTACGATGTTCACCACGATTCCTTTCTCGATTATACCAACAATGTACTTCAATCATATTGTCGATCGTTTTATTGTGCATGTGGGGCATCCCATCGGACCGCGGCGGCGTGCCAGGAATCGCAGGAACGTTCTACGCGCAACACACCCATTGTTGCCTCTCTGAGCTACATTAGGACGGACAAATGATGGCATGGACCATGCCATCATGATGCGCCTTGCACAATGGACGGCGGCTGGCAAGCTCCCCAGCCCGGCTGAGGCGGCTGTGCCGTCGACACGTCCACCCCTGGCAGAACACACGTGAGTTGAACAGCAACTTTCTTTGACAGCTGCGATAGCACCGCCAAAAGTTCCTGCATGTGTGCCACTTCGTCCAGTGGGATGTTCGCTCTTGCGACATGCAACTTGTGTCATGTTTGCTTGGTCTTGACGACCAGGCGACATTTTGAGCAACAGCGATTACACCGAGGTCGAGGGGCCAGCGGTCGATCCTTGACCTAGCGAAGGGAGGCCAGTCGAACAAAGTCATGCAGCGTTCGGGTCCACGGACGATCTAGTGTTCGCCGTGTTGTGTCTGGCGCTGGGCTCGACGAAGCGCCTCCGCACACTAGTGTCGATGGATCTTTTTCACGCAACCTTTGATGGGTAAAGTTGCCGGCCTGGGCGATAAACAGATGTGCCAAAGCTTCTCTTGTCCAACAGCACATTGGAATGCATAGATTCGACACCGGCCTTGCGCCGCGAGAGGGACCTGCCATGCCTTCGAGTGGCCGCCCCCGCGAGTGAGTTGGTGGAAGCGGCGAATCGAACGGGATGACGTTCACAACAGCGTGCAACAGTCGGCCACCGGCAACCTGATCCGGCGCGTCGTATGGCGCGAGCGCACCCCCCACCGCGTGAACCATGTACAACTACCTGCAGAGCGCAAAGATCCAGCTGTAACATGTCCTGACCACCGTATTCCCTGTCTGTGTGGGTCAGGGTTTATCAAATTTTGAATATTTCGTAAGAAGAAGGTCGTGTGCAAAAGGCATGCGTTGCGCAGGTCCCCCCACGACCGCATGCCCCCCCCCCCCGACACGACGAGCCATGGCATCGAGCAGTGGAAAATATGAGTGAGGTACAACCGATATCGCCGCCACCATGTACTATGAAATGTTAAGTCGACATGCCCCCCCACGGTATAAAATGTTAGAGGTCATGCCTACTACCCCTCGGTATGTACAGGTGGCCAGTCATCATGACCGGGTGATTGATGGGTTAGATGATTCCGCTGGATAAATGAGCGTGCCTGGTCGCAGCAGACACGAAGTATTCGTTTTCACAGAATATTCGACCTTCACCTGGGTGTCCAAGCGCATCCTCGACAACGCAGCAACAGTTTATGGTATTCATTCTTACAGTATATCATTGAATAGAATGCAATGAGACATTTGCCATTTCTCATTTATCTGGATCTTCAACCGGCTTTTTTCACATATCTTTCACGGTCGCTGCAGAGAGTGGCAACGTAATGGCTACCCAGATGCCACGGTAGCCACTGGGCGACCCCAACACGATGTTGTGCGGCAAGACAAGCTGCGCAGACTCTCGTGCGATGGAACGTTTGTGCTTTTGCTCACGACAAGCGGCACGCTGCCCCCACGACGCCTGCGTGCGCGGCTTGCCCATCCAGCCTCGAGCCACGTTGTCGGGTGTTTTGTGGCTGCACGTTTTTTGTGGAGGTGTCCCATACCAGTAGCCAGGGCTCCGCCACGAGCGGCACCACCACATGGCACGAAGAGGTAACGGAGCACATGCCTCTACACGTCCGACGACGACCGCCGCGACCGACACGAAACACACTGTTGGTTTGGACGAGTCATGGCGCAACCAAAGCCAACTCGGATTTGGCTCCTGGAAGAAAAGGACATGGCCCAGCTCCAGCAAACGCCTGACATGGACGTGATGACCATGACGCACAGGTCGCAGGACTACTGCGTCATCATGGACAAGCGCCAGACCACCGAATCCAACAACAGTGACGGGGACGACAACGACTGGCCGAAATTTGGCGCGCTCCGACCTGGTGGCGCGCTCAACCTGTTGAGCTGGGAAGCGTTCGGTCTCCTCAGTCAGTACGCCGGCGTCGGCATCCTCATGGGGGTGTTGGGCGCGCTCCAATACCCCGTCTTTCACAGCTACTTACGCATGGAAGGCTACCAAACAGCCTCGTACGGCGTCCTGATCTCGCTCGGGTGGTCGTCCAAGATATTCTTTGGCATTTTGAGCGATTGCTGCCCTCTCTTTGGGTATCAACGCCGGCCGTACATGATCATCGGGTGGATGATTTGTGCCACGTGCTGCCTGGTCATGGCCATCACGCCGTTCCCAGACCCGTACTACGGCAAGAAGGAGGTGTTTCGAGTCCCGTTGTCCAAGATTCCGGCCGAAGACCTCAAGTATATCAATTTGGACGCGCCCAAGCGCGGTGGCTTCTTCATCGTGCTGTCCATGATGTGTTCGTTGGGGTATGTCTTGGCTGTTGTCGCGGCCGATGCCATGGTCGTCCAGTACGCCCAGCGCGAACCCGCGGCCATTCGCGGCCGAACTCAAACGGCCATCTACTTTACTCGCGACGCGTTCTCGATGGTGCCGATTCTGGTCGTCGGGTTTTGCATGAACGACTACAAGTACGGCGGGACGTTTTCGTGGAGCATCGGGCCCAACATTGTGTACGCGGCGTTGACCGTGCCGTGCTTGCTGGCGGCATATTCCGCATACGCGCTGTTGGTCGAGGAAAAGGTGACCAAATCGCCGTTCCGCGCCTATCTTTCCAACGCGTGGATGCTCCTCCAGCAGCGCGTCGTGTGGCAGATCTGCATGTTCAAGTTCCTCAACATGCTCTTCTACGCGTACTACTCGACCTTGAATGACCCTGTGTGGTCGTTTTGGATACAAGTCGAGCCGATTGTGTCGACAGCGTTCAGCATTGTGTACCAGCTCTTCAAGGTCGGCGCGATGTTTGGCATCGGCAAGTATGCGCTCAACTGGGACTGGCGCTGGGCCATGGCCGCGTCGACGCTGGCGATTGTGGCCGTGGACACCACACTCAACTTTTTGGCGGTCTGGAATGTTGTCCGGGACCAGTACTTTCAAAATATCCTTGGGAGCTTGGCCGCGATCCCGCAAGCGGCGATCTTCCTCTTCAGCGGGTACCTCGTCGTCGAAATCGCCGACGTCGGAAACGAAGGCCTTGTGTTTGCGCTCGTGACAACGTGCTCCAACTTGGCGATTCCGCTCAGTACTGTCCTCGCCAAGACCGTCGACTCGTTTTTCACGGCGCGACTGACCGACATCCAGCGAGACGATACCGCCGTCCGGTGGGAGGTCACGTACTCGTACATTGCGACCGCCGCCATGAAGCTGTTGTCGCTCGTGTTTTTGGCCTTGATGCCCCGACAAAAGGCGTACATCCAAGTCCTCAAGCGTACGGGCAGCTTGAGCCCCGTTGCCGCCGCGATTGTGTTTGTCGTGTTTGTGTTTGGCTACACGTGGAATGTGACGACCAATATTTTGTCGATTTTCCCGTCCACGAGCTGCCTTCGCATCGCAGGAGGTAGAGGGTGCTAGTCGTAGAATGTAGTTGCAAAGCGTAGTAAAACTTGTAAAGGAATCGAAAACGAATCTTGCCTGCGCGAAAAAGCCCACGAAGCATGCATGAAATCGAAACTCGGCGGTCGGTCGACGCCGACGTATCCACGGCTTGCCCTGGCGGATGGCTGCCCTGAGACAAAAATGGGAAGTCATCGAGGAGTCATTTGCCCCCAGAGTCATAGGGACGAGTGGGAAAAGGAAATGGGTGTGCACAACACGAAATACAGAGCACACACGGCGAGTGGCAAGATGGTTTGCGACCCTTTGTGCACATGACCGTGTCTGGCATAGTCAGTTCGAGTCACTGCGATCTTGGGTGAACCGTCGCGATCGTCAAGCGTCGCACAGAAATTGCAAAGTCGGGAAATCATTTGAAATTGTCTTGGCGCCAGCACGATGGCCACCACCAAGAAGACTACGCTGCATGAAACACCCAAGATCTGGCTGCTTGACGAAAAGGATATGGTGGCGACCGCGACAGGGCGCACGGACCGAAGCGACTCGCATCTGCACTCGACGCCAGAGTACTGTGTCGTGCTGGACAACCGGAGCTCGATTTCTGGCTTTAGCGACAACACGGACGACGACGTGAAGAATCCTGGAGCCGACTTTGGGGCGCTGCGACCAGGAGGGGCATTGAATTTGCTCGGATTGGAAGCATTTGGCCTTCTCAGCCAGTACGCTGGCGTCGGCATCCTCATGGGTGTCCTCGGCGCTCTCCAGTATCCCGTCTTTCACGTCTACTTGCAAATGGAAGGCTACCAAACAGCCTCGTACGGCGTCCTGATCACTCTCGGGTGGTCGTCCAAGATTTTCTTTGGCATTTTGAGCGATTGCTGTCCCATCTTTGGATACCAACGCCGTCCATACATAATCATCGGGTGGACGCTCTGCGCTGCATGTTGCTTGACCATGGCCATCACACCGTTCCCTGACCCATACTATGGGAAAAAGGAACTGGTGCGCCATCGAGTGTC